GGGCTCGAACCCACAGACCGCGAGATCGTGACCTGAGCTGAAGTCGGCCGCTTTACCCGACTGAGCCACCGAGGCGCCCCAACGCTCAAGACGGTTTTAAGAAGATACAAGAGGACTATCATAAGGTCTTCCCCTCCAAGCGATAGCTTCGCAGACTAGCAGACCTCACTCTTATCTCTTGGGGGCAAATGGCGTGTACTTTGATCCCTTCCTCTTGGCTTCACAGCTGAACACGAGGAGGTCGGAACCAAATGCCACACTGTCCCTTCACACGCGGGGTTACTGTTTCAGAGCAGATGAGTACTCGCCGCTTAAGCTCCCTCTGCTTTTCCCCTCAAGTATGCAATTCCTTTGCCAAAAAATATTCACGGGACAGTCGAACTGGATTATTTACAGTTTGAATTTCTGATTGGAAGTGGGGGAAAATCCACTAAAATATAGCTTCCCGTGGCCATAGTCAAATACAGATAAGAAAAGTAGAGGGCACAGAACCATATTCTATAGGAAGCATGTCAGGTATATAATCTCATGCTTCATTTCAGCAACTGAGAAGACAGTTGTTTGCCCATTTTACTGATGAGGAAACCGAGGAGATCAAATTAATTTCTAAATAGCTCATTAGCAAGCGAGTCCAGGCCTCTGGGATGCCAGAGTGCCTGGCTTCTTCGCTACGTTGAATGACTTTGGGCAAGTTGCTTATCTGAGTCTAGAGTCCTTGCTTATCCAACGGCGACAATAATTCCGATCTCGCAGACTTATTGTAACAAGAGATAATCGAACACGTGCCCAGAGGGGGCCAGTGGACACCATGTCACTCGGACATTCCTTCCTCTCCTCCGTCCTTCTGCCTCCTTGTGCTCACTTCAATCATCTCCTGCCCATTCAGAGTCATAGTAAATACAGGGAGGAAAGAGCGTTCAGATGGCCAGGGGGGAGAAGGCAGGTCCCTGGGTCCCTAGGGAGCCAGCGGCGTTGGAAAAGTCACATTTGCGAGAGTGTGGAGGAGGGCAGGGACAGCTTCCTTTTAGAGAAGCTATGGCTTCTGAAACGGAAGAGAATTGAAAACGAGAAGATAATGCTGGAACCATTTGGGGAAAGCTCTTTTGGAGCAGAAGATATTTACATGATCTTAATCTCCTCACAGATTATTCATTAATTACGAAAGGGAATTGAAAACTAATATTTACAATGGAGATATCTGGTGCACTTCATCAAAACCAAACAGACCATCAGCAATGATGGAATCAACTAATATCCTGTGCCTCCTGGTAGATGCCCTGAGGACACAGCATCGCTTAGTACTTGGATACTATTTACGCACGAAGGCATCGTGGGAGCCAAATCATGAAACCATCCAAATGAGGGACAGTCTACAAAACAAATGACCCAGGTTCTATAAAATGTCAGTGTCAAAACGGATGAAGGGCCAAGGGACTGTTCCAGATCAAAGGATAGCGAAGACATGTCAACTAAATGCAAATATATAATCCTAGGGAGCTCAAGGCCATTACTGGGACCAGCTAGAGAAATCCTGGACTCTATGAGATAATCATATGCATCAGTGTTAGATTTCCTGAACGTGGCCAACGTATCATGTCAGATCACAGCCCTGCTCTCAGGAGACACATGTTTTAGTATTTAGGAATGCAAAGTCATCATATCTGCAACTCACTCACAAGTGGTTCAACAACAACAACGAAAATAAAACGTGTATGTATATGTGTGTGTATCTATAAAAAAAGATCAAGCAAACACAGCAAACTACTAACTAGTAAACTCAGGTGAAGGGTTTGCAATGTTTCTTGTACTATTCCTGCCCCTATTCTGTGCCTATTAAGAAATAAATACAAATACCTCAGGGGAATAAAGTAGGTGGCTTTTTTTTTTTTTAATGAGCAGATAACAGTTTGATGATTCCTTAAAAAGTTAGTAATGGAATTGCCACATGGCCCAGCAGTTTCACTCCTAAAAGAATGTATGTACCCAAGAGAAATGAGACCATTGGTCTATACAATCTGTACATGAATGTTCATAGCAGCATTATTCACAATAGCCAAAATGTAGAAACAACCCGAATATCCATCAACAGATACACAGATAAACAAATCGTGCTATATCCATACAATAGAATTGGGCGCCTGGGTGGCCCAGTCGGTTAAGTGTCCGACTCTCGATTTTGGCTCAGGTCACAATCTCACTGTTCGTGAAATCAAGCCCCATGTGTCGCACTCTGCTCTGTCAGCTTGGGATTCTCTGTCTCCCTCTCTTTCTGCCCCTCCTCCGCCCGCACACAAGCACATACTCTCTCTCAAAATAAACAGACTTTCAAAAAAGCGAGAATACTGGGGTGATTGGGTAGCTTAGTCAGTTAAGTGCTTGACATCAGCTCAGGTCACGATCTCACAATTGGTGAGTTTGAGCCCCAGGTCAGGCTCTGTGCTCACAGCTCAGAGCCTGGGACCTGCTTCGGATTCATTGTCTTCCTCTCTCTGCCCCTCCCCTGCTCATGCGCTCTCTCTCTCTCTCTCTCTCTTTCTCAAAAGCAAACATTAAAAAAAAAAATTTTTTTTTTAAAAGAGGGATTATTATTCACCCATAAAAAGGATAAAATTCTGACAAATGCTATAACGTGGCTGAACCTTGAGGGCATTATGTTAAGTGATGGAAGCCAGTCACAAAAGGGCAAATACTGTACGATTCCACTTCCATGAGGTACCTAGACTAATCAGATTCATAGAGACAGAGTAGAATGGTGGTCGCAAGTGTCTGGGGGCAGGAGAAATGGGGATTGACTACTAATGGGTACAGTGCTTCCTTTTAGGGTGGTGAAAATATTTTGGAACTCGATAGAGGAGGTGGTTGCACATCGATGTGAATGTAGTAAATGTCACTGAACATTGTTCACTTTAAGATGATTGACTTTATGTTACATAGATTTTTACCTCCATAAAAAAGAGAAGAGCAGAAGAGAAAGGGGGAATTTGATATTATGACTTCAGCCACAGAGTAGGAGTAAGAAGAGGCCACATCTGCAGCCAACACTCACACCCAGGAATCTGATGACTGGGATGGAAATGGCATGTCCAATATGAACTACTGACTGGTTCTGAAATATGACAACCAAGATGGAGAATTATAATTTACCCAAATTCCATAGTATGTTCACAGACTTCCAGTGCAGTAAGAATTCATCATATGCTGGGTCAGTGTCTACTATATTTATTAATTGTTTTTCACTTTTTAAAATTTATTTTTGATTTTAATTTACATCCAAATTAGTTAGCATACAGTGCAACAATGGTTTCAGGAGTAGATTCCTTAATGCCCCTTCCCCATTTAGCCCATCCCCCCTTCCACAACCCCTCCTGTAACCCTCTGCTTGTTCTCCATATTTAAGAGTCTCTTCTGTTTTGTCCCCCTCCCTGTTTTTACATCATTTTCGCTTCCCTTCCCTTACGTTCACCTATTCTGTGTCTTAAAGTCCTCATATGAGTGAAGTCATATGGTATTTGTCTTTCTCTAATTTCACGTAGCATAATACCCTCCAGTTCCATCCACGACGTTGCAACGTCTGCCATATTTAAAACATGCTTCAACTAAAGCAGCACCAGCAGGATTTCGTAGGCAATACTCTGATCCCAGGGGCCAAGATTTTAGAGGAGAAACCTCTCCCCCTCACAGACCCCTGGGTGGGCAAGTGAAATGTCTATAGAGCTACAGCAGGCTGAAAGAGTCTCTAGTTTCTGCCCGGCTGGGACTGCACAGTATTAAAAGCTGCTACCCTCTTTTCTCTCTAGAAATCATAGCTGCTTTCACTCACATAAAGCTGGCACAGAAAAAGTGACCCAATAAGATGTGTACGACCTCACATGTTATGCTTAACAAGAGTAACTGCATTTTCAGTTAGAACCTTGAGGGGAACATGAACTTTTTTAAAAAAAAAGGTCTTAAAAATTCTATCACAAAAGAGAAAGCAATTCACATTCCATGTAAACACTTTAGAGAAGACAGGCAGGGGTGGGGGAAAAATCCCCTGGAGAAGCCACTGCTATAATTTTGGTGTACTTCTTGTCAGCCTGAGAAGGCAGGAGTTAACGGTAAGGAATGATTCATTAATGGTGGCGCTTTGAACATCTTTAGAAACTTCCTTGGTGAGAAACTGAAGTAAGTGTGATGTGTCCTATTACGGCCACTAGTAAGGATGATCCTAACCCTGAAGGTAATTTTTCCTGTCCTGTACTTAAGACATGTGTCCTGAGAATCCAGTCATGAGAGAATCATGAACAAGTAGAACAATCAGGAGAATGACCCACTGCCCTCTTCCTTACGAAGGTTTATTCCAAAATTTTTGTCAATGTTTAGTTTTGAGAGACAGAGCACTAGCGGGGGAGGGGCAGAGAGAGAGGCAGACACAGCATCCGAAGCAGGCTCCAGGCTCTGAGCCATCAGCACAGAGCCTGATGCGGGGCTCGAACTCGTGAACTGCGGGATCATGACCTGAGCCGAAGTCGGACACCTAACCGACTGAGCCACCCAAGTGCCCTTAAACATTTATTCTAAAAGAGAGTTACTGAGGTGGGGGTGGGTGGGAGTGAAATAGACAAAAGGGAGTAGGAGGTACAAACCTCCAGTTATGACTATTGTAATAATGCCGTATGGCGACAGGTGGTTGACTAAACTTCTCATGGTGGGCAGAGCAAAACACAGAGAATTGCTGAATCGCTTATTTTCGTGCACCAGAAACGAATACAATGTTGACTGTCAACCGTAATTCAACTAAAATTTAAAAATATATATTAAACATTTTTTAAAAAAGAAGAGAGAGAATTACAAGGAAGAGAGTCGAAACAGATTTGCAGGCCCGTTCTTGTTGCCAGGTGGGCAGAGCCAAACAAAAGCGAGTATGCTTCCGGCGCGGTTTAGTGTTTGGCTGAGAAAACGCGTCAAAATTAGCTTGGGCCCTTATTTCCCTGGTCGCCTCCCCCAGAGGCGCAACTCACCCATCCAGACTTCCCCGAACTGCCCGGCACCGAGCCTTTTCACCAACTTGATGGACTCCCGTGGGATCTCCCAGGCGTCTTTGTCCCATGGCTTCTGCGGTTTGGGACTAATACACGCCTTCTCCAGTCTTCTGCACAAGCCATCTGACTGCTCTGATTTGAAAGAACACAAATTCAAAGAGGTTAAGCAACGTCCCACTTTGTATCTCACCGGCATCTAAGAAGAAATTTCGACTGCTAGCGCGATCGCTTTCGGACTGACGTAGTCTACGGACCTAAAATGTCGTGCGGGTATCTTTTGTGTCCTCGTGACTTTTGAAATTCTTACATGAGAGACCATTTGAAACGCGCCTTGACTTTATCGATTGGTATGGTTTGCAAACCTCCCGTGTATGTTGCCTCAGAGTGGGTCGCAGAAAGAAACAGTACCCACGGCCGCACGCCACAACCGACTTCAATCACACAGGGAATGAACCCGGAGGCCGCCCATGGGTTTGGCTTAACAGGGCTGAGAACCAGCACTGGAGACAGAGGACCCCTGACTTGCCACTTCTAAATATTTTCTTGTCATTGTCCTTTGTTTTCCTTCACCCAGCATGCGCATTACCTTATTACCTTTACCACATATACACATGTGTCTACAAAGACATGTATCTGTGAATCTGCATTCCGATTCCAAATATTTAAAGATGTGTTGTAAAAATATGCACTACGTGGAAAAAAACATTCATTTTGCTCTTCACCATTCTGGGACATTAAAACTGTGATACGGCATGGACAAGGTGGGAAGGGCCAGGATGATTATTCACTAGGATCAAATATGATTTTAAATGCGGATTTAATTATAGATGAATTTAGAATCAATTATAGAGTATGATCCTCCAACTTCTTCCAAGAGATGTACGATGTAGAAGAATTTTAGTGTAAAAAAGTGTCTGAAACCCTGCATCTCATAATCATCTGTTTTGCCTTGTCTGACCGTCGGCTTTTACTTACTTTGGTAATGCTTAATCATGTCACTGATACAAGGGAAAGTGATTCGTGGAGAGATGTAATAACCCCCATTGTCCAGACTTCTAATTTTGTAGTGCTTAATAACATCACCATGCACAGGGTCATAATCTCTGACAGAAAGAGAGAAGCTTCCTGTGAGGGAAAAACACAAGTAAAGATCATGCTTATATTTTAGAAGATCTGCCTTATGCAACACTATAGTACGCATTTTGCCATAAAATATGCAAAATGTAAATTAAGTATGGATAGAGTGCATAATTTTTAAAGTCCTATAAACAAGTCCGCTTGACACGAGGCTAGTATTTTATTTGCTATGAAACCTACCAACACGCCCTTTTCCTTCCTCGCAATAGGTTTTTACGATTTCGCTGAATTGAAAAGTTACTTTGATTTTCTTTCTCTGAAGATTTCAAGATTTACTCTAAATAATAACGTAAGAGGCCCAGCAAACATAAAGTGTGGTAAGAAATGGCCATAATTGGGCTGCTTCCTATGTTACTTTTCGTAGTAAAACTAATCATTTGAGTCATTTGTTACCAAACTATAAAACTTTCACTACCAGAACATAATATATCTTTCTTTAAAAAAAAAAAATAAGAATTCCAGACTAGTTTCTAAGAATGATCTGTTCAGTAGTGATTTATTGGAGGATTTAAACCACTTCCTACCTTTTAATGTTTCACTTTCTCTGATAAGAAAAGCCCCAGCACTGTTCCCGGGCGCAAGAAGCTGCCTTTCAGCATCTTTCCTGGTTATGTCCTTGAAAAACCACCTGAGAAGACATTGTGACATTTCATGGGTATTATGCTCCAGGGAAGGAAAAAGCAATGGTAGGGGGGGGGGCTGGGTGGCTCAGTCGGTTAAGCGTCTGACTCTCGATTTCAGCTCAGGTCACGGTCTCGCGAGTTTGTGAGTTCAAGCCCCGCATCGGGCTCCTTGCACTGACCATGGGGAGCCTGCTTGGAATTCCCTCTCTCTCCCTCTCTCTCTCTTTCTCTGCCCCTCCTGCACATGCTCTCTCTCTCAAAATAAAGTTAAAAACTTAAAAAAAAAAAAAAGAAAAAGATAAGGAATAAACATGATGGCCAATGTAACAAACAAATCACCCAAGATGACAACGTGTAAAGGACTCACTCTTCCGTTTCCAAGGTGTTGACTTTGGCTACGTAGTTGCTGGGGATGAAACCTTCTCTCTTCGTTGAAAGGGATTTAGCTTTCCACCATTCTCCATGTCTGGAATGGAAACACATCGAGAAGTGTTCGTGTCCAATGAGTCAAGAACTGCACTTGTCTTAAGGTGTTTGTTTTGGGGGGCGAGGGAGAGTGAGATGATCCCTGGAACCCCAGAATCCAGTGGGAAATTCACTCATTTTGCTGAAATACAAATATGTTTCGAGATGAAGGCAGGGGCAAACAGTCTCGCAACTGGGTCACCGTGCTCAGTGCTGTGCAAACAAGAGTTGGTAGAAATGGCTCCCATCGGGCAGAAGCAACATTTGCGGCTTCCACCCGGGACATCTGAGAAATGCTTTAGGACCCTTACAGAGGGGGAGTCAAGGGACTAATGAACCATAGTTCCTAGGTTATAAACTCCTTTGTTAAAATATGGAAATGCTAATTTCCATAGACAGATGCCGTGGAAAGAAAGAAATAGAAAACCATAAAATAGGGGCGCCCGGGTGGCTCAGTTCATTGAGCGTCTGACTTTGTTCGACTCAGGTCATGATCTTGCCGTGCGTGGGTTTGAGCCCCACGTCGGGCTCCACGCTGGCAGTGTGGAGCCTGCTCGAGATTCTGTCTCTTTCCCTTTCTCTGCCCCTCCACCTCCTCTTCTCTCTCAAAATAAGATATATATTCTCTCTCAAAAATATATATATTCAGGGCACCTAGGTGGCTTAGTGGGTTAAGCATCCGACTTCGGCTCAGGTCATGATCCCACAGTACGTGGGTTCCAGCCCCGCATTGGGCTCTGTGCTGACAGCTCGGAGCCTGGAGCTGCTTCGGATTCTGTGTCTCCCTCTCTCTCTGCCCCTCCCCTGCTTGCACTCTGTCTCTCTCAAAAATAAATAAACAGTTAAAAAAAAAAAAAAAAAAAAAGGAAAGGAAAACCATAAAATAAATGATCCCAAGCAGGCAGCCTCGTCCCCATGTTCTTGGCCTCCGCACGGAGGCAAGGAGGAGGCTGGGGCCAGGGAAGGAGGCAGAATGGATGGGTCCCCACGAGCCTCAACTATGATCGGCTTCCAATTCCCGCACGCAGTCGGGCTCCGTGCCCACAAGACGTGAACGACAACCACAGTGACACCGCGCTGCTGCCTGTGGGACGCCCGTGCCGTATTTACACGCACGTTAATTCTCACATCACCCCCAAGACCGAGGTACCGCCATTCCCATTTCGTAAGTGAAGAAACCAAGAGCTGACGCGGCCTGTCGAGATCACACAGTCGTCACGAGGCAGAGCCGGGATTGCAACCGGTAAGTGACAGCTGCTCTTAACCACTTAGCCCATTGTACTTACTACGGGGTCTCCCTCCTCCAACGTGGTTGGTGGGCCAAGGGGACAACGTATGCCAGATCAGCGGGAAATACCTAGCAAATCCGTATCCTCAGTTCCGAGCCCCTGGGGTCTGAGTCACGGGTCTGTGAGTCAGCACAGAGAGGTCAAGGACATGATGATGCCTAAGTGTCTTCCCACGAGGGCTACAACTGCTGAGCAGGGGCGTTTCCAAAACGCTGCTTCAACAGTGTCCTTAGAACTCAAACCAAGCTGGACCCATAAACCCAGTCTGGATTTGGGCAACATCACTAAACAAACATGGCATTAGAATAACGTGCCAGTTCCACGCAGACCCAAACTTGTTAAGGTGACACAGATGGATAAAGAAAGAAACCAGCGTCTGGATTCAAAGGGACACCTGGAGAGTGTTCACAGCCACACATAAGAGGAAAGTTCCTGTGGCCTTCCTCCTTCCATTCCCAAAGCCCTGCTGGCGAGCAAGGAGGCGGGAAGCCAAATGAGGGGTCGGGCCTCGGTGGCCTAAGGGACACTCCTTAGTGTCCTAAGGGACACTAAGGGCCTAAGGGACACAGCGTGCGAGGGCGTACTCACTCCTCCAGGACTTTCATCTTCTCTCCTTTCTTGAACGACAGGTCGTCTGGATGGATGCCATCGTAGGGGTACAAGGCTACCACAATGTCTCCTTGCTCCTCAGGATCTAAAACCGAAGACCGGGAAGGAAGACATTCAAGAATCAATCAGTGGAAACATTCTAGTGAGTCCCTGTCAGGCACAAAGGAGTCCTGCCCAGGGGGACGCACAGCCCACATGCTCTACGGTAAGCAACGTATTATACGCACCGGATACATTATCGGTCATCGCCAATCGTACAGGCCCGCGACTATAATTAATTCCAACTCTGTACTTAAGAAATTATTCAGCCGCGTTCATGGCGGCATGACGCACAAAAACTAAAAGGAGGAAACAATCCAAACGTTCAGTGACAAACGAATGGATAAACAAAATGTGGTGAGTGCGTACCACACAATATCACTCAGCCTTAAAACGGAGGACAATTCTGGGGCGCCCGCGTGGCTCAGGTGGTTGTGTCTGACTCTTGATTTCAGCTCAGGTCACGACCTCAAGGTTCGTGAGTTTGAGCCCCGCGTCGGGTTCTGTGCTGACAGTGTGGGGCCTGCTTGGGATTCCCTCTCTCATCCCCTCTCTCTCTCTGGCCCTCCTCCCCCTCCCCCACTCTCTCCCTCAAAATGAAACACTTTTTTTATTTTTTTATTTTTTATTTTTTTTAAATTTTTTTTTCAACGTTTATTTATTTTTGGGACAGAGACTACAAGAGCATATGGAAGGGGCAGAGGGGAGACTAGAGATCGGGAAACAGGCTCAGGCTCTGAGCCATCAGCCCCAGAAGTGACGGCGGGAACTCGAACTCTCAGGACCCGTGAGATAAGTGACCTGGCTGGAGGCTTAACTGACTCGCCACCCAGGCATGAAACACTTTTTTAATGGAAGAAAGAATTTACGGCACAAGCTACAGCATGGATGAACCCTGAAGGCGTCATGAGAGGAGTGAACGAAGTCACACACGAAAGGACAAACACTTTACGATCCCATTTATTTGGGGTACCTGGAGTAGTAGTCAGATTCAGAGGGACAGAAAGTAGAATGGGGGCTGTCGGGGGCAGAGGGGAGTAGGGGAAGGGAGCTAGTGTGTAATCGGACGAGTTTGGGGGAGGCGAAGAAGTTCTGGACACAGATGGTGGCGGCTGCTGTCGCGTGAGCGTGCTTATTTCCCACTAACTGTATGGTTAAAAAGCTATGGCCCCACCCGTGAGGGGGGGCGCCAGCCTGGGTGGCTCAGTCGGTTGGCGTCCGACTTCAGCCAGTCCGCGATCATGATCCGTGAGTTAGCGTCTGAACTCTGGAGGCTGATGGCTGCGAGGAGCCTGGAGTCTGTTTCGATTCTGTGTCTCCCTCTCTCTCTGCCCCCTCCCCCGTTCATGCTCTGTCTCTCTCTGTCTCAAAAATAAATAAACTTAAAATTAAAAAAAAAATGGCCACCGTGAGGGGCGCCTGGGTGGCTCAGTCGGTTAAGATCAGGCTGGCTCAGGTCACCATCTACCATGAGGTCTGTGGAGTTCGAGCCCCGCGCACTTGCATCAGGCTGGGCTGATGGCTCAGAGCCTGGAGCCTGCTTCTGATTCTGTGTCTCCCTCTTTCTCTGCCCCTCCCCCGTCCATGCTCTGTCTCTGTCTCAAAAATAAACAAAAAATGTTAAAAAAAAAAACATTTAAAAAAAATGGCCACCGTGATAACTTTTATGTTGCGTGTGTTTTTCTACACAGAAACATAAAAACACTCAAGCTGACTACCTTGCAGAGCCTGCAACAGTGAAGAAAAGAAGCCATGTTGCTATGAAGACGTACCTTTGGTTTGAAACCTCTGTCCTGGTAAAAGCTGAGATTCTGGAACCTAGGAGAGAACATTTGTTAGGAAGAGGATTCTGAGGTTTAGCTTTTCTTTCTCCCGCGTTCACGTTGTACGTTCTCTCGTTTTTCTGACGGTAGCACGTGAGGTTTAGGACTTGCAATTTAGTAAGGCGGAGGGAAGAGGAGAACAGAGAAAAACTTCTGCATAGCTGCGTCCTGACATACACAGCTCGGTGGAAGGACTCTCCCCTCACAGTCTCTCCATCTCTCCAGCTCTCACAGTCTCTCCATCTCTCCACAGACTCTCCATCACGGTCACTTGCCTGCGATGGCAGGAAGCGACCAGGGCTCGAAGCAGGGGCTGCTAGATGCTAACCCGATCATCATTCTCCCTCTTATTTGGTAACAGGACCCTAATACTGTGTGCGATGGCAATTTGCCCAGCCAAGTGGCTATGCTTCTGACTCTCTGACATTCTATGCAGATGGGGGCGGGGGGGGGGGGGGTCTGTAAGCAAACTGGTTGCGGGGGTGCTTGGGCCGGCTTCCCCTCTCCCTTGCTTCTGCCTAGAAACAGGTGGAGGCTGGAGTCTCAGCTTGGAAATCAGACACCAGGGAGAGCAGAAGGCAGAGAGGCGGGGGGGGGGGGGGGGGGGGTAGGTAGCCGGGGTCCCTGCTGGCTTTGTGGGATTGCCACTCTGGCCAGGACTGCTGATCTCCGCGTTTCCTAGACCCGCAAATCATGCCACTTTTCTCTTTGATTAAAGTGACTTAATGGAATGGGACTGAAACGGCGTGCACTGAAATTTAAATTTCTGACGAAAGCTAGCCCATAAAATCTCCAATTAGGAGGTTGGGGGCGGGCTGTAGAGGAGAGAGGACACAGTAGATTTCCTGGTAGCAGAAAATCATGGGTCCATATTATCCTTGAAGACTTAATTTTAAGAAATTCTCGACTGATTTTTTAATCACTGGATTTGCATAATATGACGCATGATCAATTATAAATGATGTAGAGGAAATAATTACAAGATGAGAGACTAAATCACTTTGAAAGCAGCAAGCTGATTTTCAAGTATCAAGGAGTCCTTAATTTACAAAGGTTTCAGCAGCCTTTTCCTAAGAGCAAAACACATATACGGTGCAGTCGCCTTAACTCTTTCTCTTTAAAGGGTCTCTTCCTCGGGCTGTTGTTGAATTCCATCACTTCTGCCTGTCTCATCACGGCTCCAAGCTAAGAGCCTTGTGAGACAAAGGCATCTGTGACCACAGAAGGCACAGACTAAAATGCAGAATCCATGACAGAGGTGCAAGGTTGCAACCATTTTTTTTTTACTACTTCTGCTTTCCAACTCAACGTTTCACCTGCTTTACATTAAGTAAGAGGCAACATGGTAAGTTCATACTATTTGCCTTTGTGCTTTCTGAATAAAGGGCATCTTCGATCATCGGTTCAGAAGAAAACTTGGGTTTAAAGCGTGAAAAATGCATTGCATGTGATACCAGAAAAAGCCAGATTCTTTCTCTGAGATCTTCCCCCCCCCGCCCCTATTTTCTCCCTCTTTTTTTTTTTTTTAATTTTTTTACTTTTTAAAATTTACATCCAGGGGTGCCTGGGTGGCGCAGTCGGTTAAGCGTCTGACTTCAGCCAGGTCACGATCTCGCGCTCCGTGAGTTCGAGCCCCGCGTCGGGCTCTGGGCTGATGGCTCAGAGCCTGGAGCCTGTTTCTGATTCTGTGTCTCCCTCTCTCTCTGCCCCTCCCCCGTTCATGCTCTGTCTCTCTCTCTGTCCCAAAAATAAAAAATAAACGTTAAAAAAAAAAAAATTAAAAAAAAAATTAAAAAAATAAAAAAATAAAATAAAATAAAATTTACATCCAAATTAGTTAGCATATAGTGTCTCTGAGATCTTTTAAGTCTCTAATAAGAAAACTACTTGTGACTCCCAATTCTCTCAATCGTTTTATTTCCTATTAATCATGTTTATATAATACAATTCTACATCTATGCTTGCTTATGTAATATTTTTAAATATAGTTACATGTATTTATAACGACGAAATTATTAAAGCCATATCCTTATACACTTTGAGTTTCTATATAAGCGTAACGTTCACTTCTCTGTCTAGAATCATGTGCGGTAATTAATAGCGATAATATATTCACTCTTTATCTCCATTTATTTTTACGGAGGCCAACAGTGACGTCTCAATTTCAATAGTGGCAGGAGATTTTGACATACGTAACAATATGTAACTTTGCCTTGGCAACAATAACAGACTTCTGTAATGCCAAGGCGTTATATTTAAAACAGGTCAGACTAGGGGCGCCTGGGTGGCGCAGTCGGTTAAGCGTCCGACTTCAGCCAGGTCACGATCTCGCGGTCCGGGAGTTCGAGCCCCGCGTCGGGCTCTGGGCTGATGGCTCAGAGCCTGGAGCCTGTTTCCGATTCTGTGTCTCCCTCTCTCTCTCTGCCCCTCCCCCGTTCATGCTCTGTCTCTCTCTGTCCCAAAAATAAATAAACGTTGAAAAAAAAAAAAATTAAAAAAAAAAAAAACAAAAAACAGGTCAGACTAGAGCCGCTATGGAAGTTCTTAATAAAGGCATTGGGGCTAATAAACTGCTTCCGGCTTAAATGCTTAGAAATTCCATTATATAGACAGATAGAGCAACAGGTATAGGTATCTATATGTATATCTATAGACCTATCTACCTACCTATACATATCTATATGTAGATGGAAAGGACAGTAGGCCTGAAATAAAGTTCATTTCAAGCACTAACTACCCAAAGCTCTGTTCCTCTTTTCCATCAAGTCAGATAGAGTATTAGGTCCTCCTTTGCCCAGCATTTCCCAACTGCATCGAATAGCATGTCACTCATGCTATCATCACAGATATAAAGATATCCGTGCAAGGTCAGGGGGCAGAATTAGTTGTGTGTTTTTTTTAAATCTTTTAATTCTCTACAAAAAGTCCTGACAGCTTCAGAATCGGCACTGTTTGGAATTAACTGAAGAATGACAAGATGTGGGATAAAATATGACACGCCGAAGGGCCTATTCGCACTTCTTCTAGCTTCTGGCTTGCATCCAGAATTTCCTTCTGCTTCCAGACCCCTGCACTAATCTCACTATCTACCCTAAGTCATACAGGTCCAGAGAGATGGGCAGATTCATCTTTATGTATAAAGAGCTGGTCTTTGCACCAGTTTCATGAAAAGTGATTTTCTTTTCACAGGAGAAGGTGACCAACGGCCCCTTTTTTTCGGACAGGAAGGAGCCTGGTTATCTCTAAAATGTTTACAAACTCTTTAAAGGATTAAGTTACAAGGCATATCGAATGTTGTTGGAGGCCCAAGTAACGGGTTTGATTTTCTGCACGCACAGGTTACGGATTCGGCGTTTAAATTACGCAGCCATGCTTTGATCCTGCTGTGGGAACGCTCCCCTGAGACTATCTACTTACTGGCCTTTGCTGTTTATTGGACGTTGGATCTCTCACATAAATAGTTCGGTCAGTATTACGTACTGGTTGAGGCTTCAAATCTACTCCATCGCCATTCAGATTGTCTTTCCTTTTTGATTTTATACATCCCATATTTCCTGTTGGAATATAAAAGCAATGACAGGGTTTTACCATTCTAGAACTGGCGTCAAGCTCCCAAACATCTCCATTAACAGAGGCTAAAAAGAGTATATTTTTATGCTTTATTATAGATAATGAACTCAAATGTGCTTCACATACCCATTTGCTGGTTCATTCATTCATTCAACAGCTATTGCTCGAGCAGCATTTTTACGTCAGCAAGACATCATCCCCGCTCTAGAGACGCTTGTATTCTTGCGGCGGGGACGTGTGAATCAAAGCTACAGTACAACAGGACGAGTCCATGACAGAGGATGCAACTAACTAGGACCTAGGGAAGGGCACCTAACTCAGGCAGGTGGAGAAAGAGGGAGTCAGCGGGAAACATCCTGAAGGAAATGCTCCGTGAGTCAGAATGGGGGCCACACGGCAAAGCCACACGGCAAAGTCAGTAAAGGGATTCCAGGAAGAAAGAACTTCAATGCAAACTACTGACCCCGAGACAACATGGCCCCTTTGGGGAACTAGTTCATCTCACCCCTTCGGGGAAGAGGCTCAAGCTGATCCCTTCAGAAAACTAGTTCTACAATGAGAAAGCTTTTCGCCAAGGAGCAGGGAGGGAAGGCCACGGGCTGGGATGGAAAGGGAGGCACACCTTGGGTGCAACGTCGGGGAGTTGTTGGGCTTACTTTGTCATTTCACAAGGACATAACGTGCAAGGCAAAGTCAGGGGCTTGGGGCCTCAAAGGCAACCATGAAGAAGACCTAGAAGGCAGAGAGCCTGGTGGCAACTGAATGTGGCTTCGGGCCTGGGAAAATGGCGGGGGGCCTTCACCAAGACCGGAAATGCAAGAGGAGAGATGATGCCTGGAGGAACATCCAAATGATCAGGTCCAGTAGGCTTCCCAGGAAGACAGGTGAGTGTGGAAACCAGGCGAGACGGCAGAGCTAGAGGCATGAATGATGGCATCAGCAAGGCATGACTGCGTACTACTTTGGAGGAAGAACCACAGACAGAAGGGGTTGTGCCTGACCAGAGCACGAGGACATAACCAAGCTTCCGAATGCTGAACTCTTCCACTCGTTCATCTGGTTAATACTGGGATATATAGAGCACCACACAAAGCACTCTGGGGACTAAAGAGAGGATTCTGAAAACTATAATCAGAGACACATTCTGCCTACAGCATAGCCTCATGGTCCGATCTATACACTAAAAACAACCTGTTATGAGCTCTGTCAGAAGGCCCCATAGGGCAGTGGGTCCCAAACCTAAACGAACACCAGGATCATCAAACTCAAGAGACCAGATTCCCGGGACACGCTCCAGGAAATTCCACTGGGGCCAGTGGAGGAGGGTACCCAGCGGGGGAGGGGGGTGCATCTGTGGAATTCGGAAGCACTGCCATTTTGGGGACCACTGCCTACAACAGCAGAGGAGGGGGAGATGATTCAGAGCTGGGGGGAGAGGTGCTGGGAATCGGGAAATAACTCCCAGAGGAAGAACTGTTCCAAGAAGTCTCAAGGTCTCTGGATTATCACCCACAGGGCACGTGGCCACAGCTGATCTCTGCACCTTGTCCCGCAGGCTCCCAGTTGGCCCGCACCCCCTCAACTTGTTTATCATCGCACTAGTGAGATATGAAGCCTCTAAAGGCTCAGTCACACCTCTTTCTGAAACTAGCAAGCACAGTTCCCAAAATAAAGGGGAAGCAAGTATTTCTTTGATTCAAAACAGCACCCCCCTTTTTTTTATATGCTCAAGTTTCTGAAATGGAGAAGGGTTTTCAAGTGGATCTGTAAATAAGCGAGATGGGTTTTAGGGTAAACAGGCAAGTTCTTTTTTCACCAGTCCCAACCCCCACCCCCTCCAAAATGCTGTTTGCACTGATCGTCCGTTAAAACAAGGGAATGTGGTCCTGGAGAAGGCCTCTCAGCACCCACCGCCGAGCACACGGGCAACACCAAGGGGAGGCCCTGGAGGGTCCCCCCAACCCCCTCGCCCAGCTCCCCCCTCGCAAAGACCGCACCCCTCCCCAACCCTCCGGGCTGCAGGTGCTCCTGAGACCCGGCTGGCTGCCCCACTCCAGCAGGTGCTCTGTATCTTGGTGTCTGTTTCTCCCTCTGTGTGTGTGTGTGTGTGTGTGTGTGTGTGTGTGTGTGTGTGTGTCTCTCTCTCCCTCTTTCCCTCTCAATGTCTCTCTGCCTCTGCATCTCTGTCTTTCTCTCTCTCCCACCGCCTCCAGAGCTAACCCCAATGCTACCTGCCCAGCCTGGTTGTCACTAAGGACCCTGTTGAAAAGATCCCCCGTCTACCCATTCCACTGCTCAGGCTTTACACTCTTCTCTTTTCTAATTGTGACCGACATCCCATTACATATTGATTAACTTGTGGTCAGCGCCCACCAGACTCGAGGCTGCTGGGGAAGCTCCCAGCCTGTTTCTTCCCAGCAGTATTCCCAGCGGCTACGCAGTGCCTGTGCGGGGCAGGTGCTCAGGGAACACGCCCCCGAGAATGACCGGGTGGGGCGGCTCTGGCTGTGTACACGCTCATCATCCCGACCCTCTTGCAAAAGGTGAACAAGAGAAAGGAGAGGAAACCCACCTCCGTCGGTTTCAGAGGCAGATATCTCTAGAACTGACTTGTAATTTGCAAGAAATACAGAGGTCAGAGGAACGAAATGATCAGGCAAGTCCGCAGTAAGGTCCAACTCCATGTCTGGACACACTGAAGAGTGCACAGGGTAGGGGGGTGGGGACGAGGCGGTTACACATTAAAAGACTAGAGACACATAACCTTGCGTGGATCCTGGATGGGGGTGGGGACAGAGGAGGACACAGGATGGGATAACCGGGGAAATCTGAATGTGTCTGAACATGATGTTAGGGAACTGCTAGGTTTCCTGGGTGATGAGATAATAGCTCTCTGATCGTGCGGCATGGGGCCGAGTCTTAGGAGACGCATACAGGTGTGCAGGGGAGGGTGGCTCATGGTGTCACAAGTTACAACGCTTTGCCCAGTACAAAGACAAGGGGGGGCGGGGAGGCAAATACGGCAAAACGTTCAAAAATCAGAGAACCCAGGTGAGGACGTTCTTTCATTTTTTTTTTTTTTCCTGTGGCTTTGTTAGATTCAAAATTAAAAGTTAGAGGAGGGGGAGAAAATAAGAGGATGTTATGAACAACTTTATGAAAAAGAAGTCATACAAAATGTTAGAAACCCCGGCAGAGAGAGAGAGAGAGAGAGAGAGACTCGGCGGGAACAAGGAGAGAGAAGACAGCTGGTGTGGAGTGGGGGCGTCTGGGAGCCAGACCTCTCCAGGGTCTGGACAAAGAGGCGATGACGACTGCCCATGGGCAGTGGCCCTATGAAGGAAGAGGGAAGGATGGAAACAGAAAGCAGGTGGATGTGTAAACAGTGGCAACGGTTCACAGATGATCATCTCTTCATGTTCATTTCATAATTTCCCCTCCCCCCCGTCACCATGGATAACTGATAACACACAAGGGCTGTTGATGACAACAATTACAACACTGCTCCCCGTGGGGTTACCGTCCTCGGTGGCTCAGGCTGAGCTGGCCTCTGCCGACAGGGAGTTCTAGTTCATCA